AAACTTGTCACGACCCACAAGTCGAATCTGTGATCGACGTTAGGGTTAGAATAAGTCTTAATCCGCCAGCCTTTTGAATACGAAAATACTGATATATTAGAAAAATATTAATGCTAAATAATATCTGAAATACATATATAAATACCAAACCATCTTTTTATATCGAAAAAATCTATCTGTGATCACTAAGTTAACTAAGAGCAGAGTTAATCAATCAAACTGAAGAGACACAAACACTAACTGGTATAACTGAAAATCAAATCAACGAGTACCACGAAATCCACTCACGTAATGGGATCTGGTGGTAGAGTTGAGCCTGAATCTAGAAAAATAAAATAATGAGCCTACCGACCTAGTGAATAATAATACATATTTATATATCAAGAGACATATATCAGGTACTTTTTGTTACAAAACATAATGTTTCAATTGTACAAATTAGAGAGTTTGACATAGAGAATTGAACAAGAAACAGGACGGCAACCTCATGGTCTGCCGTAACACATATAATGAGATGGCAATATCTAGTTTGCCGTAAGTTAATAATTAGGTTTATCACATTAACTTCACGTAATAGTCTAGCATACACTCCAAGGTACATCCAGTTTAACGCTTACTGCTATTAGTTACAGAGTTCTAACAATTCGACACTCCCTTAAAATAAATTTCTAAAGTTTAACAGAAACCATTCATGAATTTTCACATTTTAAACATATTAGAACAAACATCAATATTTCAAGAAAACTTTCCAACAAATCAGAAAATTACATATATGTCCCTTGTACACTATTTATAACAAATTTAAATTCCAGTTTCGAGATATTTGAATTTATAAAATAGTTTATATAAAATTTAACATTTAACAGATATGGAAACAATAAATTATATAAATATGCATTATTACTCACAAACATTAGAGAATCACAAAAGTCGAGCTTTAGCGATTCAACTTCATTAAAGTCGAACAATCAATCTAGAAATAACCAAAAAATCTTATTTCAGAATGTAATAGGTCTCAAATTAATTTTCAATTAATTTCTCATCCAAAGCCCAAATACATATCCTTAGATTTTCGTGTTCACACCCATATCGAGAATTTTAAAGTCTTGAACCAATCAAATAATTCACCTTTTACATATTAAAGTCTTCAACCATCTCCCAAACCATAACACTAGTCTAATTATCCTTTAAACCAACCATTAAGGTATTAAATCGGACTTGAACCGGTCACTAGAATATTGAACCAACCTTGAACCAGTTAAGACAACACTAAATTGGACTTCAAACCCACGAAAGCGGGCATGAAACTCACTACTAAATCGACCTTAATTCCACTAAACTGGCCATGAAACCCAATGAATCGACCATAAAACCCATTAAACCGGTCATAAACTACATTGAATCGATTAAGAAACACAATAAACCGATCAAGAAAGACACTGGACTGGCCATAAAACCCATAGAACCTGATTTAAACCCATTAAACTAGCCAGAAATTACACTGAACCGACCCTAACAATGTTAAATCGGCCACCCCAAAATTCTAATCCTTTAATTTTTATGCTAAACCAGCCATGCACCTGTTAGGTTGTTTTATTATCTTTCTAACCGTATCTTGAATTGGTCGGGAATCGGTTTAAAAGTCCCTGAACTGGCCAATTTTCCTTTTTCTATTATTTTATGTTTATTAATTAATTAATGTTATTAATTAATCATATTCGAATCCAGATCTCGGATCTCGTTCGACCCGGGTTCGAAACTGGATTCTCGGCTGGCTTGGTCCATTGGTCAAGGCCCAGCCCATACAATTAACCCTTAGCCCAAACCCAATGTTAAGGCTCGGCCCATCCCAACACGCGACCCAATACAACTTTAGGAGACCAGGTCGAGTCCAACTTGGTTCTCCAGCTGGGTTTTATCTTCTTGACCCGGTGTTTCTACAAAACAACCAAAACATTGAATACAAAAATTTTAAATTCATACCTCAAATTGTCTCGCAATCTATCCTCCTACGAGACTCGAAACAAGCAAACGACGAGTCTTAATCGATTTAATCGATCCAAACAGCTTCTATTTGCTTGATCTTTGCCACAAACCGATCGAATCAGACGGACTAGGTGAATGGACTTCAATCCTTGAAATTTTAGAATTTTGTAACTTAGTTTTTGAAATTAGGTTAGGGCTTTTGTGGGTATGCAATGATCGATCCACTTTATATAGAAATTTTAGTTACAACCATCCAAAATTAATTAAGATTTAATGCAATAAACCTTGAGATCTGAACGTTTGAACGTTACAATGTTCGAATCATTTCCTCTTTTTTTAGGTAGGTCTTTTTAAATTTTATAATTTTTTTTTGACCCCAAAATTTTGAGTTTCTACAAAACTTTACTTCCCTCGTTGTAGATAGCTGGTCATTGTCAATTCTTTATGTCAAGGAGAGATAAAAAGATTAACTTATATAAATATAAATATAAAATATATATATACTTAATTTTATATTATAATGTATAAAATTAATTAATATTTTAAAAAATTAATCCCATCCATCCACTCGAGTCAAAGTGGGCTGCCACGAGTTTCCGTGCTTCAACGGAGTTAGGTTTTTTTTTGGCCGCGGACTGATGATTCTTGATTGATTGAGAAGGAGAACAAGCGGAGACATGATCCACATCCGCTCCGTTCGTTTCTTTTGTCATTATCTGCCAATACTTTTTGTACATTTTCCCCTTCATTTTCCTTTTCTTACATTCTCACCCCCCCTCCCCAAATACCGAATGCAACAATAGGTGGTCTCGGTATAATTTATATCACTTTCACAAATCATAACAAATTAATTTTTGAGTTCTTATTTTGAAAAAATTAATTTTGTAAATGAATACTCTAAAGACTCCATCCAATTGGATATATTTAAAATTATAAAAATTAAAATATTTTTGAAATTATTTAAAGTATGTGAGTGCTGATGGATAAATAATTGTTTATTTGGATAAATATTTATTTTAACGAATAATAAATATTTATTTTATGATAAATTGTTCTAAATAATAATAATAATAATATAAAATATGTCCAATTGGATGTGGGAGTTTTTAAGATACTTATTAGAAAGAAAAAAAGGAATACAATATTTAGAAGTGAATAGTCCTTATTGGTAAAAAAAAAAAAAATTATTTTGATTGCTAATTTTAAATGTTTCATCTATTAAAGGATCTTTCCTCTCTGTGAAAGGGGCAGTGGCTATGTATTTCGACGGGAAAGTTTCTCGAGCGCCTCACAATAGGGTATCACCAGGAATTTTTTCTAGACATTATAAATAGAGGGTGTAATTTTGAATACAATATAAGTGTAATATAAATTTATTTAAATAAATATTTTAACAAAATTTTTAAATATTTTTATACGAATATAAATTTAATATAAAAATATGCAAACAATAAAAACCACAAATTACCTGAGCAATCAAAACCAAAAGCCTTGTTTTCAATATTTTTTATTTTTTCATATGTTTGAGGAATGGAAGTTAAAGATTACGCCCTCTGGTAAATATTCTTTGTAGTAATTTCTATTTTTTTTTCTTTTTTTGAGGGGTAATTCGGTCATTAGACATCAAAGTTAAGAATCGGCGGCAGTGTCACCAGATGGGAACAACTCGTTCAATTGGTAAACGTAGAAATTGATATGTGGTAATTTTAGATAAACAAAAATATCTTATTTATCCCGATAATAACTTTTCTCATTATATTTGAAAATTACCAATTATTTAGCAATATTAACAAACATTTAATTTACTTCAATTTTACCAAAACCCTCGTAAATTCACTACCAACTAATCAGTAAAATATGATGGTACCGACCAACAATCATTGTTACCAAAAAATAAGTAATAAATAGACATACTTTTAAATAATAATTGTTACGTGGCTATATAGTATTTGTGTATATATAAAAAATAAACTAATATTTTCACAAAATTGTGGGTAAAGATTAGGTATTCAATTTATCGTACATATAAATTAAAATTTATATATTTAAATAGAAAAATTATATAGAGATAAAAAAGAGACATCTAGTATTAACAGAACCATATGTGAGCAATATTAACTAAAATACTTAGGAGATTCATCCAAGTTAGTATTCAATATGTGTGTGCTTGCGTGCATTAGACATTTTTTATTATTACATATATATATATGTGTGTATATATAAAGATGCTTCACCTAGCCTTCAGCTTTGACATTGTCATTTCATTGGTAATAATATTACTTTTAGTAAATGGATCATAATCATTATCATTATTTTCCCTCTTTATGAAAAAAATTAGGTGCTTAGGCTGGGATAGTTTTGTAGTGTGAGTAGTCAATATTAAGAGCATAGAAGACATGTTCGGTCTATATTTAGAGCACTTTTGTACCCACAAAAGATCAACTTGTATGCACCTTTGTACCTCTAGCATTGGTACTGACAAGCCCCTACAAGTGGATCTACTAGCTCCAAAGCCTTCCCTTCAGTCCAAAGTTTTCGTGCCTAACATGGGTCAGCATAACATTTAATACAAATCAACCATGGGGCTGAAGAAATAAAGAAACTAAGAAAGCACAGGGCGGATTTAATAGAAGAAAAAGAGAAAAAAAAAGGTTTGATTTTTTAAGAATGAGTTCATTGGAGAAGAGAATACAAGATTGTATAGAATAGGTGCATAGCCAATAATCTCCCTTCAGAGTTCAAATCAAAAATCATCCAAACAAAAATTTAGAAATATAGGTTTCATAGTTATTCACAATTAGATGTTTTTTATAAGTATCAAAGGGCATTTTGAAATACTTTTACAATTCTTCTTTATAAATGGAGATTAGAATTTTTTTTTGATCATTTTCATTAATAGACAGTTTTCACTTATAGTCCATGGAATGAATATTATAAATAGATATAAAAAAATAGAAATAAAGAAAAGAATAAATAGTAAAAAGGTCTAAAAATTCATGCCTCAAACTTACATGTCCAAGAAGATTTAGATCATGTTTAGAATGTTGGAATAATCTATTTCTTTGACCTATTAGTATCTTTAAAATTTTCACTCCAAAACTAAATACATCCAATTTTATTGAAAAAACACCATCAATCACGTATTTTGGTAACATGTACCACATAGCACAATTGTCAAAAAAAAATTAAAATTAGTTAAATCAAAAAACAAAAAAATTAAAATTAGTTAAATCAAAAAACAAACAAGTTAGTATATATAATGTGACATTAGAGATTCACATGAAATATTATAATCTGTTGATGTTGGAAAAAATGAAAGAAGAGATCAAAGAAATATTCTTTGGGATAAATTTCATTTCTAAAAATAAATCCTAATTTAGAAAAAAAAAAGTTTTTGGGCTACTTACTAAGTTTCAACCACCCTTCTTGTTATAGCTAACGATTGATCTCCTCCAACAACTTTAACATGGCCAAAATTTGAAAATTTTAGGATATATATCAGAGTCTAATAAAATATTACTGATTTTAAAATCCCTATAAATAACTCTCATCGTGAGTCTTGGTGAAGATAAAGAAGACCTCGAGCAATTCCTATAATAATATCTAAATGTCTTCTCCACGTGAGCAATATATATATGTTTTTTGTTATCCAAATTTGAGATAAACAAGATGCCATATTCATTTTTTAAAATTTTAGTCATATTTTGTTGTGAAGCAAATTATGTTAACAAAAATTTCTTTATCTACAACTTTATTTGAGCTTATGTAAACAGATATATGAGAAAAATAGACCAAATATAAACAAAATCCAAGCTTCCATTGAGCATGTTCTCGTGAACCAACATTCTTTCTTGTTGATGGATGCAACATCCTAAAAAGCCGGACTAAATTGTGATGCTAAAGTTTTGACTATCAAAGTAACTTCATTTTAAATTCATTAACACTTTGTCTAGAGTTGACTGATAACCTCTTTACGGCTATCTCTCTTTAGTTGATAGGTAATCATGTATATTATTTGATCATCAATTAAAAGATTCAAGTTCCTCTAATACTTCTTACAATATAATATTTTTT